TTTCGGTGAGTTTGAAAACGGAAACGTTTTAAAAATGCAATAAAACGTATAAAAAATATGGAAACACAAATACAATCTATTTATTTATAAAGATAAACTTAATAATTGATTAATTGAACATTTTTATTGGGTTAATATCTATTTATACAAGATAACATCTAGTTAGATTAAAAAAAAAAAAAGCTTTACACGAGGCAGAAATTACTTCAATTAGTTTCGAACACTTAATTTTTATCCAACAAACACATTTTTACACAATGTTAAGATCTCATAAATACACACATAAATACTTAATTTCAGATATTTAATATACTATAAAATTAATGGCAGTTATTTATTAATAATGATAAGTTAATTAACAATAATAAGCTATTTATTAATTGTAGGGGTTTTTAATAATTATAGAAGGAAAAAGGGGGGCATTAATGTTAATTAACAAATCTAAAGAAAACTAACAAATTTAAAAGAAAATAAAAATCAGGGGATTAAATCGTCGGTGCTTGGATCTGAGTCAACGCGTGCGTCTCGATTGATCGATCGAGAGAGAGAAAGAAAGAGAGAAAAGATAAAGAAAATTTGAGCGATGAAGACCCAACAGCCACCGGCAGAGAAGGAAGAAAGAGAGAAGAAGAAGAGAAAGGGAGAAGATGTACTTGGAGGAGCTAGATCTGGACGTGATATGGACTGTAGGAGTGAACAGTGGTCTAGATATGCTCAGATCTTAACTTAGGGACCCCAGGTAAGCTATTGACTTTTCTCCTTCTCCTTCTTTTGATTTCTACTCTCGCTTTATGTTTTGCAGAAGACGGGGATGACGAGAAGAATCCCTCCCCTTTTTGAGTTGATGCAATTTTCTGAGCTCGTCTCTGTCTCTATCTGTTCTTTTTTTTGAAAATCGGTCGAATAAGTCCCCGTTTTGATCAAAAAATTATTGTTTTGTCTGAAACGGTATGAAACTGTGATGATTCGTTCGAAACGTAAGAATTTTTTGTTTCTACCCTTGTTTCTACCCTTGTTTTGTTGAGAATCAGAAACATTCGAACGTTTTGGAATATTTCATTCCTTGATCGTGTGACACTCCAAAATCCGGGGGTCCGTTGATTACTCATCAACCCACGGAATGCCTGTGGATACCGAGTAACTCGATATCTCAACGTTATGTCTCATTTACCGGGGTCCATCCTTTATTAAAAATTTGGGCAGAGTCTCCTTTGTAAGGAGAACTCTACTCAAAACACAACTTGTGTATTATATAATTACAAGACCCATCCGAGGTCCTATATTCAACAATGACCACACCGGGTCCATTTATAAGTAAACATTGGCCACACCGGGTCTAATTATCCATATTCATACAAACATACAAGATTATATTAAAACAGTCGATATAGATTCTATCACAATTTCTTTACACATTACATGCCAAAAATTTAATTATAAGTCTAATTTTACAAAAGAAATGGATTGAAAGCCACAAGTTGATTTTTCTTCCTCCTTAAGTGCCCGAGTAAGTGCCGTCCCTCGGCGTATGACCCGTACCTGAAATGTTTCCCGTATAGGGTGAGCCAACACCCAGTAGAGAAAAACTCCTACTAGGGCTACTCCCTACCTTAAATGCATATGCAATGTGTATAAGCAACATTTAACATTTAACAACCATTCATACAAGAATATGTATTCAATGTTGAAATGCAACCATGTCATGCCATGAAATAAGATGATACTCACTCATGCACTTAAACCCAAGTTCTCACTGACTTCGACAACACAATGCAATGCCAATGTGTAATGACCCGTCTTCGACAGAAATACATCCAATGATCGCTTTGAATAAAAAATCATGCGTTTTATAAATCAGATCATTATTGGATGGTACTCATTAAATGAGTATTTTCTTATAAATCAAAATCTTGTGTCTTGTTGGGCAACGGATTTTGGATTTTATACCGCCAGTTCCGTATACCATACTACACTTTTCTGGAATTTTATCACAGGGGAGTGTATAACCAAGTCGCCGGGTCTTGCACCCGAGGGAGAGTCTAGCCCTACTTGCTATACCCGACACAAGTTTTCTTCCATACAACCATGCGACTCAAAGGGGATCTTCGATCCACTTTTTCCCGAACCCACATACCAACCACCAAACAAGGTGTTTGATCAACCATGCATCTCACACACCCACACTCATGACTTATGCCCATGAGTGTGATGCCTCTATGCACAATGATACAATGTTCAATATGTTATGAATGACACATGAACAATCTCAACATATCATGATAAGTTATATTCTAAGCATATAGATATTATATTTGTCACAAATTCAATATATCATAACATGCATATACCAACAATTGCATTTTCAGTCATAAATCATGTCATAAGTCCATAATTTCACTTTCATAATCATAGGCAAGTGATATCACAACTTTTAGGCTAATAACACACCTAATCATTAAGGCATAATATAACACATAACAGCCTATGTAATAGCCCACGTAACGGCTCTTATCTAAACCACAAAATAACCTATACAAACCACCATATAACAGCCCATATATAGCCCACAAAATAGCCTAAAAATAGTCTGTAAAAACAGTCCAAAAACAGTCACAATTTCAGTCCATAACACGGCCTAAAAACAGTCCATAATTCAGCCCTTTAACAGCCCAAATTCAGCCCCTTAATAGTCCCTAATTAGTGCACAAAACAGCCCCTAATTAGTGCACAAAACAACCCTTAATTAGTGCACAAAACAGCCTCAATTTCAGCACCAAAACAGTCCATTTGGACAACCCACATATAAACCAATTTCAACCACTAAAAGCCCACTTAAGGTAAGAATAAAACCAAGGTAGGAGAGAACCCTACCTCAATAGAGGTGTAAGAACTTCTATAACACCAAATCAACTTCAAAGCTTTGATTTTTTCCAAAGTCTCCTCTTGGATCTTCGGTGAAATCCACTCTTTTTGGTACGTACGCGTAGCTCTCGTCGAGGAGATGAACTTTGGCTCTTGGTCTGAGTTGATTCGAGCGATGGAACTCCGAGAATCGGCGAAGGAGGATTTGTTTTCTCCCTTTTTCTCTCCCTCTTGCTCTCACACGTTGGAACCAACGGAAATGCGGAGATCCTTCAGCAAAATATCTGATTTAGCCCCTATTTATACTTTCCAATACTTGGCCTGAGTCGTGCCACGTGTCCCTCACTGATTCAGGTCCGTTTTTACCTCAAAACGATTTATTTTGTACTGGTTTAAGCTTAAAATATTTTATATGAACTTTATTTAAAATATTTTTCAACTTTCAAAATTTTTATTAAAATTTCGTTTTTGGGGGTCACCGGACGTTTCTCGCCTCGAAAAATGTGAAAAATTTGACTATCTCGAAATTCGATGAAAATTGACAGGGCAACTAGGTTTCGCGATGCGAATCCAACAGTGAGGTCCATTGTCCCATTCGAACTCTATAAAAATATGTATTTTAAATATGCATTAGGATGACAAATTACCATTTTGCCATTTTTTTTCAGAAAAAATTCAAATTTTTCCCGGGTTTCACAGATCGTACAAACACAAGAAGGACAAGACGAACGTCGTGCAAATTTCAAATAAGGACGACACGAAATGAATATCATGCAAACACAAATAAGGGCATGCATGGCTTAAACATTGTGCATATGTGCAAATATGACGTAGAACCAAGTTTCTTGTCCATTTGCATTTCCTTGTATACATGCTTATTTGTTTGCTTGTTATTTTCACATGTGAGCCCGGGTCTCGCTTGAGGAAGGTGTAAAGAGTGCTCGTATTCCACATCGAATTAATAGGACCACCTAAGGTTGGTTTAGTGTTTTGAAAAGCTTGCCTAGGTGAGAAGTGAAGGTTTGTCGTCTTGAGCATCCTAGGCGAAGCGAATGTGACTGAAGCAAGGAAAAATCGAGAAAAGCGAGCACCTTGCACTTAAGTGAAAGGTGAGAAAGCGAGTGTCTTAGTTATGTGAGGCGAGGTTGTCTTGGATTGTTTTATTTTTATTATGGATCATTGAATTGGGGTAATTGAAAAAAAATTATAAGATGTCCATACACCCAATTACCCCCTTATCCCATAAATACAACACCCAAACCCTAATTTTGCTCAAAGGGTCAAATGACGAGTGTTTGCTGCTGCTCCTCCTTCCTGGTCAGAGACGACGACTACTGCTGCTGTTGCTCCTTCTTCGGTGGTCTACACATAGGTTTGTCTCCTTCTCTTTTTCTTCTTCTCGCTTCTGGTTCTGGTCCTCGTTGGTCCACACACTGGTTTTGTTTCTCTTCTTCTTTTTGCTGTTTGACGCCGAGATTTTCTGTAAATGCATATTTTGCTGACTCTGTTTTTTTTCTGCTTCTACTGATTTTCTGATGAGATTTTTTTTTGCTTCTGCTTCTGTTATTTTTTTCAGCTTCTGTTTTTTTTTCTGCATCTGATTTTGTATAGCTGATGATTCTAATTTTCTGTAATGCTATTTTGCTGATAGTAGTGTTGATATTATTAGTATTTGTTTTAATTTAAATTTTTATAATTTTACTTGCATTTAAATATTTAGTATATATAAAATTAGAACTTAGATGTTTAGAAGTAATTAAACTAAAATATTTACTTTTCTTTTTATCTGTTCGCTTCGCTTTGATAAAGCGTTTCACTTCGCTCTCGCCTAGGCTTTAGGAGCCTGGTTGCTTCGATTTGCTTTATGCCTTAAATAACATTGGGTTGGTTAATGTACTTGAGTGGCTTCTTCACTCATTGCCAATTGATTTTAAGTTGGATTCTCTAGTTAGACTTGGTATGTTGAAGACTTTTTGTAATATATCAGCAAACATGCGAGGGATCTTTTAATGGTCTTTGGATTTTTGTCATAATTACAATACTAAATATAGTTATGAGGAAATCTTCTCAATTTGTTTTAGAAAGCTCCTAGTTAGCCACTCAAGAGGAACTAAAAGACCTTCTAACTGTTGCAGCTTATGTGTTCTTTGTGTAGGCTAGATCTTACAGCTGCTGGGAAGGAGGCATTTTTCTGTGAGGTATCAGTATGTCTCCCACAAATATCTTATAATTGTCTTGTTGTAACTTTATTCTGCCAATACCTGTGCAGTAATTTCTTCTCTGCTGTCCAGATTTTAGTAAGTGCTTTCCTTTTAATTATTATATATCATTGGTGTTTTTTCCCGAGTGTTGATTCAAATGATTCGTAAATGAGAGGGATGTGGAGTGATAATCTCATGTAGGAACATTATGTCTGAATTGGTAATGGTCAGGTTGCTATGCTGAAATGCATTAAATGTGCTACCTTCTGATAATGCTTATTCAAGTGGTGCTTTTTTGGACAGGACATAAAAAATATGTTTGGTTGACTCCAAGTTTAGGTAGACATTAGAAAGAGGTTTTTTTAGGGGCAAGCAAAAGATGAATTAAAAAAAAATAGTTATAATGGTGATTACATAGATACATTGAAAATTAGGTATAAAAATATCTATGGATGGTTGTACTACAATATGGAAAACAAGATTTGTAAAACTCGAAACCCTTTTTAACAGAGTTAAAAAAACTGATATAAAAAGTTTCATCTTGGTGTAAATTCTTTTATGACTATGTTTATGTGACAGAATGTTTATTGTGATGATGAAATTGGTTTGCAAAAGCGTAAACCTCGTTCTCGCGAAACCATCACTTTCTTTTTTCTTTAAAATATTTCATCATGTTGATAAAATTTATTGGCAATGTGTAGACTGTGTCCACAAATCTTAGAAAGCTATTTTATTAGTATGTTTTGGATAGTGGTGCTTGTATAATACCATGGTGTAATTCTTTTGGTTGTGGTTTTTTTAAGTTTTCCAGTCTATGTATGTCTATTTTATGTACAATCAATGTTTTAATTTGTATACCGAGTTCCACAATTCCGGATCCCATTCGATTTTCGATTGGAGAAAGGAATATTTTTGATTCACCAAATGAATCTCGATTTGACAACTATGGTAATTAGTTGATAGTCAAAGCACCCAATTTTGACGAGTATTTGACGTAATAATTGCCAATTTGGTCAAAGTGATCTTACTCCTATGCTTGGGCCATGGGCCACTGGCCACTGGCCATGAGCCTAAGGCTCTAAATGATGGGTCATATGACTTGAAATTGGGATGAGTTCCCTATTCTTTTTCTTGTTATACTCTTCCGTCTTGTCTCCCATGATTTGCGTCACTTATTGAGTTGAAAATAAGATGGAAGTAATTTTCTGTCAGGTCTACTTTAGGACACATCCATTGAATTATAACTAATCAAGAGCCATGACATCCAGATACTTGTGCAAACTTGTGGGATTATTCTTGGATGCTGATTAAAGTTTTCGTATTTTATAATGTTGCCTCGTTTATTTGTGGGTAACTTCATAATGTTGCATCGTTTATCGTATTTTGTTCACATACCATTACTTTTAAAGCAACTGAGTAGTGACTCCACAAAAATTATCATATGTTAAGGCTATGTTATAAATTGTTATTACATCCTCGCTGTCCTCATACCTTGGTCTTTTATATCTATCTTCATTTTTGGATTAGATATTCAATATGAGAGTGTAATGTTCACAATTTTCATTTAGAATGTCCCTTTTAGTTCTACTTTCATGGATGGAAGTTATGGTTCAAGTTGCGCTATGAGTTAACAACTCGGAGGGCACTGATATACATCGGTCGCGATGTAGCGGCATGGTATCGACTAATACGCTCAAAAAGTTAAAAGAAGGCCCAACAATTTTTAAAAAAATATGAAAATTTTTAAAAAATATAAACTTCATCATTCATGTATCATATATCCACAATCTATCCATTAAATCATTACCCACAATGAAAATAAAATAGAAGAATGTTACTGAAAATATTTATCATTATTTGTATTCAAATTAGTAGTTAATTAATAGATTATTTGATATTTAAAAACATAAAATGTATAATGATTTGAATGTAGATAATTGTAATTTTAATATGTAGGTTTAAATATCATATCAAAATAAAAATATATATCTCAATTCTCATGGTATGTCAAAGAGTAAATCAAATTAAACTTAGGCAAAATTGTACTTAAAAAGTAAATTACCCACAAAAAATAAATTAATTACAAGTTAAAAACATAACAGAGATTAAATAAGTAAAAAACCAAAAGAAGCCTGACGGTTATTAATTAGGCCACTGACGCTCTGGCAGCATTGACTAAAGAGTCTCAAAAGACTCCATTTGTGTTTGGAAGACGCTTTGTCCACTTAGTCCACACAGAGAGAAAGAGAGAGAGAGAGAGAGAGAGAGAGAGAGGGAGAATTTGTGAGTGGAGTAGAGTCGACGAAGGCAACAACAATAGTTGTGAAGGAGGTTAGGGTTGGGCTTCTGCTTTCGTTGCTTACATGCCTTTGGTTTGCACTTCACAGTGAAGAAGAAGATGGGCTATTTTGTTATTTGTATTTGATTCTATGGTATGTCTTGCATATCTTTACAACCCTTCTTTTGTTTATTGGAGATTTTCCAGTTTGTCTGAGACTTTGGAAATTTTGTACAAGATTTCACCATATCGGACCGATTCCGAAATGAATTGTCCGACTCAAACTGAGTTGATTCCGAGTTAAGCCGATATGTCCGAGTCATTACCAAGTTATCGCCGATACAGATGTGACTTGTGATATTTGTGTATCGTATATTGTTATCGTATCGGCGGTGGCTGAGTCGTATCGGACTTGGTCGATACCTTGAACCCTGCTGCCGTGTCTCCTTAGTTGCAAAACCCTTGTGTGTGATGGACAATAAGCTTAGCAAAGCACCTTTTATCTATTGAACAAAATGGTTCTTGATTTAATTTTTGGAGGTTACTGGGGTTTTTAGCATCTTCTGGTGATACCCCAACGGCTCTCACTTTGGAGTCTTCTCCATGCCTGTATGTTTAGTTGTTTTTGTGCCCAAACCTTATTTGTGGGAGTTCATGTAGTATTTTCTGAGAGTCGAATGACTAATATGCATACTGCTACAGGTGAAACAGTGTGTTACTGGCAGCCATGGTCTTGATGTTCAGTTTAGTGGAATCAATTTCCTGGAATCTCTGGTATTTTTTACATGCAAACATTATCACTTCCATATTAATATTAGTTGCCGACTTTTTTTGCTTTAGTTGGAACATCTTTGCTGAAATTTCTGACTAAGAATTGTTGTACTTAGGTATCTGAATTTTCTCCGTCTACTTCAAGTGCCATGGGCCTTCCTAGGGAGTTTCATGAGCAGTGCCGGGCATCATTAGAGCTCGACTATCTGAAGGTCTTCCAATTGCCATCAGCTAATGTTTCTTTGTTGATTTTTGTTTTAATTTTTTTTAATGTTTTTTAACCTTTTCCGTCTAGTATTCCTTGCAGCATGGCCAAGTTTTTGATACTCCCTTTTCTTATAATCTCAAAATATGATATACTTTTCAGTCTTTTACTTTGAATCTTATTTATACGTATTTTATGTATCTTACTCAATTCGCAGGCATTCTATTGTTGGGCACAAGAGGCTGCTCTAAGTGTCACAAGCAGAATAATTGAGTCGGATTCTGCTGAACTGGAGGTTAGAGTATGTTCCGTAGCACTACGTCTTATGCTTCAAATCCTGAACTGGGAATTCCGTTACACCACAAATAGAGTGGTCGGGGTGAAAAGCAGCATAGATGTTTTTTCTGCCGGAGTTCGACAAGATAGTAACTCACTGAGGGCTGAATGTACCTTAGTGCAGGTAACAACTTTGTTCTCTTTTGCAATCGGTAATGCTGATGCTTTTACAACATACAAATGTTTTGTTAAATTTTCATCAACTTTTTACCTCTTCAGTTTCTGATTATTTTCCTTGGTGAGCTTCATAACTCTATTTGTTTCTCTTTTCTTGCTGCTTGTAGCCTGGTCCTTCTTGGCATGATGTTCTGATTTCAAGTGGTCATATTGGCTGGCTTTTGAACTTTTATGGTGCACTGAGACAGAAGTTTTCTCGGGAAGGTTACTGGCTGGACTGTCCTATAGCAGTTTCTGCTCGAAAGCTCATAGTACAGTTCTGCTCCTTGACAGGAACTATATTTCCATCTGGTATTGAATTCTTCTTAGTACCTTCTATTTGATGGTTAATTTATTATATGTTTGATCACGTGGCTTAGTTTGTTAGAACTTAGTTTGAGGTAGATCGATATAATGCACTGAAGAACTTCTTTTGATGCTCTTTATGGTAGCATTTGATTAATGTAGAAGGGTGATGCAACATGTCCTTGTATATATGGGCTCATGGGGTCGTCGCCAAGCTTGGTCCCCGTATCCAAGAGTACTGGGAGGAGTAGACTAGGTATAGACCTAACATTTGGTAATCTATACTACTATAAAATGTGAACAAACTTGGAAAACTTTTGTTTTCCATTTCTACCCTAAAACAATTCAATTAGGACAATTATATACTTTAAAATAAATGAGTTATCAAATTACAGCTAAATAATCTATAACCCCTCCGTCTTGTGTTTCACATTATTAACTATAAAGGAGACACTCCACATCCTAGAGTTGAATACAACCAATAATCATTAAAACTTATGACACTACAAATTCTAGGATTGATACAAACATTATTCCATAGCAAAAGAAACGTAAATGACTTTTGATCTCCTCATCTCTCTTGCATTCAAATAAGATCAAAATTCAATGTGGGTATGTTATATACAAATAACATTGTTCATTGCCTCATGGAATAATGTTAAATACCCAAAAAAAATACACAAAGCGTTAGACTAATTGTAAGAATTCAAGGAATAAAAATCTTGATTTTGGAAGACAAAGGAGAAAGAAGAACCTTACCAACTCTGACTTGTGAGAGCTCATGTAACTCCTTTTTTTCTCAGGTAACTCAGCTACACATCTTTTCTATAAAACGCACATGCTCTGATTTTCAATTTGTTTTTCCATTTTTTCCCTAAAATTTTCAATGGAAGAAGAGATTGAAGAGGAGGCACCCATAAGGCAGTGTTCTAGATAACGAGGGTGCTAACTGATTAAATAGATTGACCTGTCTAAAACTCTATTGTTTAAGTACAGGTTTATCACCTTCTACACAACAATTTTTGTTCTAATTTCAATTTCATGAACGGCGGTTGTTAGAGTGCTGACTTTTGTCTTAATTTTATTTTCTAAGCTTTATTGAATGAATTCTGTGATTTCTATTGACTTGTATTCGATGGTCGGCTTATGAGTTTCCTCCATTGTTTATGTGAAAAAGAGAAGATAACCTTCAAATGGAAAAGTGGGGTTAATTAAACTTCATTTAATTCATTTTTAAGATGTGGTGCTTATGTGTTGCTAGAGAGATTGTTAAAAGAGAATGTTTTATTATTTGACAAAGAATCTCAATCGAGATGTTGCCAAGGTACATGTAAGATTCAGTTATGTAATTAGAATTTGTCGTAGTTCAATTTTCAATATAAATATGACATTTTAGGGAGCTGATCAACTTTATCGCTTTCTTTTGGTCTAATGTTTTTTTTTTTTGAAATCTGATTCCTTTAAGTATACCGCATTCCTTAACAACATCACAAAAACAAAGAAACTAATGCATGTAATGCGTTAACGCATTCTTGGGGTAGAGACGTCAACAGAGATGTGTTGTTGCTTTTGTCGTAAAAGATGCACCAATTATTCTTAAACATGATGATGAGAAGAGAGGGAGGCGCAAAAATGAATAAACCAATCTTATGGTGGAATTGCTTATTATGCCACCTTATTCCCGGTATCATTTTTGGTGGCAGATAAGGTGGTAGATGTGTGGTGCCAACAGGTCTAGGGTGCCACAAGCCAGTACACTACTGTGATTGACTCTGGATTAGTGGATTAGGCTTTGGTGAAGCCTAGAGTGGTTTCCAATAGTTTTTAATGAGAAGGGTTTTTGAGTCAACAAATCACTTGTGTTATTTATTATTTTTTCATATATACTTGTGATTTGATGCACACACGAGTACTATGTGTTTAATGAATTGATTGTTTCAATCTACATATTGTATATAGGTTCGTGATTGGGTTTGGGTTGCTTTGGTTGGGATCACCTTGTAAGATTAAGTATTAATCAACAAATTAATAAAATCAATACACTAATCTACATGGTGTTCTGGGTAGTGGTTGTTGAAAAGGGGTTCTCATTTCATTGTGTAACGAGATAATTGTGGTAGATATAGATTAAAATTGGTAGCCATTCGAGCTTAAATTTTAATTAACCTATTCACCCTTCTCCAAGTCTAACGCGCGATTCCTCATGTATTATTGAGTGAAAAGATCCTTCCTGTGAAGTGTAGTATTTTCCCTCCTTATTTTCTAAATTCTTAGAATTCAGCATTTTTTAATTCAAAACCTATGGTTCCGTCCAATTAGACGCTACCATGTGTCTTTTGTAACTACCACTCAACTCTTCAATAACTAAAATTTACTCAAAAAATCACTATTTCGTTCAAAAATTTTATATAATTGTTTGACACACAAATTATAGTCCCATGTATCGCATGGGGTGGGCCGCTATATATAACCCCCACTCGACTCATCTTTCTCTTAGAACCATACCTTCACCAAGTTCCCACCATTGATCCCCATCATAACAACTGCCACCACTGATCCCCACCGTTACCACCGATGCAACCCACTCTGTAACATTGATGCAACCAAGCACAGTATAACCATTGGCCTAAATTACCACCACCATATTTGCAAACAACAAACAAAAAATGAGCTACTATAACTTGTGACAACCCTCAACCTACAAACAATAACTTAGTCAATTGTAGGAATGGAGGAGAGAGATATCAAACTCACCGCCACAACCACCACCAACCAACCTTAATCACAACCCATTACCACCACCACCCATGACCAACTGCTTCAAACCCACCGTGCCCGACACCCGCAAATGCCACCTCCACTTCCATTGAATCATCTCTAACACACACATGCACACATAAATCATGTGATCACATGAGGTTGGGGTTAAAGGTGATCAAATTCGTAGAACATTAGAAATTTTTTGACATCAAATTTTTTGAGCTTTAGGGCTCTGTTTAAGGGATTGCAATTCTCTTGTCCTTTAGGTTTTTCTCTCATATGGGTTCTTGTGATGGGTTAGTGGTGGCCTACGGTGGTGCTAGTGGTTAACAGAAATTGAGTGGAAGGAGGAGATTGTGCTAAGAAGTATTGCAAAGCCCCTAGCCACCCAGACACCATCGTCGAAATCACAACCCCCAATCCCAAACCAACCCATTCTTTGCACCTAGAGTAGTCACTTCCATCTCCAATTTTCATAAATCAGTTGGATATGGTTGGAGAGGCAGTGAATTAGTGGAGCCATGGAGGAAAAGAGACAAAAAAAAGGTTTGACAGATGGTGGGCAGCGGCTGTAGAGTTGCAGATGGTGAGACAGGTAGGAGGGGGTGGAGCCATGGATGGAAAAGGAGAGAAATGGGGTGGCTAGAGGGTGATGACAGTGGTGTTTAAGCCAGAGAGAGAGAGAGGGGGGAGAAAGAGGGGGAGGGCATACATGTTGGGCTAGGGTTCGTATTTGGATTGAGTTTGAATTCGGGTTGGATTCCGGTTTAATGGGTTGAGATTGTTTTTCTTCATTTTCTATTAATGGTATAAGTGTTATTTTATGGTTTTTGTTAGGTTTATTAGCTCACGGTTATTAATAGGGGAGGTTAGTATAGGATTTCAAACATGAGGGGGTCTATGTAATTAAGTGACAAAACTTGGGGGATCTGAATGTAATTTATCCTTCTTTTATTGAAAAACAAAACAGTAATCCAACACATGACATAAAAAGGGGGTACAGCCTAGTCCATGTGATTTGCTTAGTGTTGTGCTTTTTATCCGATAGAAATGGAATCTCACCTGAAAGTTTTATTTAATCATCCAATTATGGAGCCAAACGCTCTCTGATGTTTGCATATAATATCGAGGATGAAAATATACATTGAAAAGTTTCCAATATATGGGTGATAATTTCTTTTCAGTGGGCTTCTATTTGTTTGCTTCATCAGCATGTTATAGGGTTCGTGGTCCCCATCTTCCTTGCCGTTCATTAATTCTCCTTGCTCTTTAACTGTCCAGTTTAGCTCAAATTAAAGATGCATGACCGAAGAAATGCAAAGGGAAGATATCGCACACCATAGGTTCATCTGGCTTCGGAGTCCACTTTTGCCCTCTAATGACCTTCAAGCTCACTTTCATTATTCTATCGATGGCCTCACCTTGACTTTGCAGCCTTAAATGGTTTGAAATAGCCTCTCCATTATCTTTGGAAAAGGTGCAGAACAGGAGAGGTTTGCATGGGTTAAGGGCTACGTCTTGCAATTGTCATTTGAAGAAACTATAGTACAAATTTATGTAATTAACATAATTGGGACGCTAAAGTGATTTTTTATATCAAAGCCGTAAGGAAGCCCAAAGTCACTATCTTCCACACTATGGTTAAAATCTGTCTTTTAAGTACAAGAACTATTTGTTCAGTCCAAATCACCCACGTTTTGGCCAGTAGCAAATTTCCAAAGATTTTGGTGTTTTGATTCTTTCCGGTCCAGCGAAAGTAATATTTTTTCTTATCATTGTAGCTAAGCAATTATTTGGGCCTTTTTTTGGGGTTGAATTTTTTTTCCCCCGGAAACTTGAAGAAATTTCAGGGTTGCATTGAAAAGGTGATGGAACTTGCAATCGTAGTAGAATATTTGCATATAATTTTTTGGGGGCATGCAATAGTAATAGTAAATATTTATTTTGCCCTTTAGTTTTAGTAATTCTCTTGCTGGAACTTATGTGTTATTTCATGGTCACAAAGTGGTTGAAGGTAGGTCTAGTTACTGTAGCTGATGCTTTGAGAAGTCAATCATGTCGCTTCTATGAATTAGGATGTCTTGGACTAAAGTTGTGTATCTTGTAGTTGTAGGTCTAAAGTAACAAAGCACTATAAGAAAGGGTTTTTTTTTGTTTATTAAATTTATTTGGGCTTTGATTGGAATTGGTTTCTTGAATTTCAGAAGAGATTTGTTGGAATTTTATTTGCATCAGTAATTTCGAATTTTTGGATTTTGGATATAGTCATATAGGGTTGAAGGCTTATAGGGAAGGAGAGAGTAGGATTATTGGAGTAGGCTTCTACCCAATGATCAAAATATTGTTTCGAAACGGTCGAAACATTCGAAATGATTCTGTTTAGAAGGAGACTTAAACGAATTAGTGATGAAATTGAAATTTTAATACTTCGAGGTGTTCCATAATATTTCGAAATAATTTGTTATATTTCAATGCATTTACATAATTATTTTAGAATGTTGCTAAGATATTTCAAGATATTTTGATATATTTCGATCAATGTTTTGAAAAAATAATTTTTAATTTTTTAATTTTTTTTATTTTGTTTTTGAAACACGTCGAAATGTTTCCGAAACACATTGAAACGTTTCTGTTTCTTAAGTGATCTAAACAATGCACCGAAACAAATTTTGATCCTTGTTTTAACCTTTATATATCCAAAATAACAGAATGTAGGGCTCTCACAAATAATTAATAAGAAGAAGAAGAAATGACTGTGACAAATTGCTATTGCAAGGAAATCCATGGGTTATTAGCATATCTATACTGCTTATAAATGTCAGCATCTGTGAAAAACTTTTGATTTCCTATTTTATCCATAATTATTATAATAAAATCGATTATACCCACTATGAGCTTTCATCTCATTTTTGTTTTTTTCACCTATTTGATTTTTAACTTATTTTGAACTATTTTATAAGGACTTTTAAATTCTTTTGAACTCATTTATTAGTAGTGTAGTTACATACAATTATCGATATCTATATGAAGAAGTAAAGTCATATACGGTCAAATAGATGTGCAAATATGTAAAGGGGTTGACGAAATACCTAAATAAATGACAAATTAGGTACTTAAAAACTTATAGAATAAATTAATAATTAAAATATGAATTAATTACTCAGAACCTAATTTATTATTTAATTTAATTATACATATAATTCACATTTTATATAAAAATAACATTATTTAAATTTATTTATGTGCAATGCACATCGTGCATTGCTAATAGGTATAAAAGTGTCAGATTCTTGAACGTTTGTGCCCTAAACTTAAAAAACAAAATTTGACGAACTAAGAAATCTTATTAAACATGGTACCGCCTTGGAATTGTAACGGTTTTTTCTTAAGTTCTATTATCTTTGACTTTGTTTCTTCGGTTTCTTACTTTCTTATCACCTTATCACTCTTGCTTGGGGATTCTTTCATCTTTTGCATGGTAATTTTGGATTTATCAACTGATGAGATTATTAAAATCTCTGCAGTTAAAAACAGTAACTGGATTACTAGAAGGTTCATTTCTTTGGCTCGTGTAATTCGTAATTTTTCTCTTGAAGAGCCAATGTCTTTCACCTTCACATCTTATGAATCTGTTGATCAAATATCCTTCCATATAGGTAAAATGAGCACAGTTGGTTTTTTTGCCTCTAGGGAAGTCGATTCAACTGGTGAAGTGGTTCATTGATTGTCAAAGCAACATTTTGTGTGGAAGAGTTGTCAGTATTATAACGGATCCTTTTTTCCAGATTTTTAGTTTTCATTTCTTTGTTTCACTTTTTATAGTCATATATTCTCCTTTCCTTTCATTCTTAGAATAATTCCTATGCATTCGTTCTTTCTTTCTTATATTGTTAATGATAATTTTTTGGGTGAATTTTGGTCACACTTTCTGTACATAGATCTATTTCAAGGACACACCACATGTAGTATCAATATCAGACTGACATCCGCCGTCAGTTTGCATGGGTAATGGAGATAATGGTAGTGTCCCTCTACATCTTTACCTATGACTCATCGATATATTTAGGAATCGTCCTTGACATATTACTCATTTTTGTGTGTGTCCATATGAATATATTAGGTGATCAGTCCTTCCATCACATGCTCCCGCACGCTCTAACTCTACTACGTCAGGCCCCCACCGTTCCTCCCCTCCCCCCTTCCACCTTCCACCAAATACGCCCTCTGAACTTCACACCCACCCATAAGCATCTACCATGGACTGAACTGGCCAACATAAATAAAAACCCTTCACACTTCAACTAGCACAAGCATGCACATACCCCCCGAATTTTGAAGACAATTCAATGGTTGGTTACATAGCAGTCCACATTTAGTGGATCGATTTTCCATCAGTTATGTTTAGAGTGTTGGTGCTAGGTCAGGTGATGAAAGCTTTGCAGATGTGATGCGTGATAGGGTGCCTTGAATTGAAATATAGTAGAAACATACTGGGATTAGGTCAGCTGATGCTTTTGTAAATGTGATAGGTGGTAGTTTTTTATCCAGTTTCATCTGAAACAAATTGTGATTTGGTGCATTGATGTTGTTGTAGATGTAATCAATGCTATTGTTTTCTTTGAGTTGAACGTCATTTGAACCCAGTGCATTGGGTGGTGGTTTGATGAATTGGCTTCCAGATGGAGGTGGAGGTGGAGGTGGCTTTATTTTTGGTGGCAGATATTGAAGTGAGAGGAAAATAAAAGGAAGAAGAAAAAGGAAGGAGGAGGTAGGCAAAAGATGAAGGATAACAATTAGTCATAACAGGAGCCCCAGGTGATACTAAAATATTAAATAGAAGAAATGTTAGTGCCATTTCAGAAAATACAAGGGATGTCCTTGAAATCAGGTCTAACTGCAAGAAGTGTAGTTGAAATTTACCTTTTTTTTTTCCGAGAAAGAAGGAATTTTGAACCGAAATTTTGTATATTCATGAATTAACTACCGTGGATTATACTGACTACTTCTATAGTTTTGAGAATAAGGTTCTTTTTTGTTGATTTTTAGTTAGAGGTACAAGACAAACAAAAAAGCTTTAATTCTTTATATCTGGTTGTTAAGATCCAATCCTTGATTGGTTTTGTTCATTTTATTTGCCAACTGGTTTGAAATGTAGACAACGGGCACATGCAAGGGCAGCACCTTCTGCAACTGCTATTGGGAATTATCCAATGGATAGATCCTCCTGACACTGTTTCAAAAGAAATTGAATGTGGGAAAAGTGAAAGGTAATAACTTACCCTCGTCTATTGTTTTATGTGTTATTTGATGTCTTACCCCATTATTGGATTTCGCGCAGCGAGTTACTTGATGGTTGTCGTGCTTTGTTATCCATAGCAAATGTAACTACACCGCTAGTGTTTGATCAGCTCTTGAAATCCATGAGGTCAGTTTTGTAGTATTTTATTATAGCCTTCATTCTTGTTGATGAACTTTCCGGTTTAATAAGATTTTGTCCTTTGTTGCATTCATGATGACAAATATTGTTTTGAATATGGCCTTTACACAAGTCAAATTTTTGCCTTGATGTTCAGGCCTTTTGGCACTGTTAGCCTGTTGTCTGCCTTGATGTGTGAAGTTGTTAAACATCTCATGGTGAATTACACTGAAGAAGAAACATGGAGTTGGGTGGCACGCGATATCTTGTTAGATACTTGGACTGCACTTCTCATCGTATGTATTTTAATGCCTTGTAACATGCATTCCATATTCTGTTACCACATGCATGAACATTTAGTACTCACATCTATTTATTTATCTGTGTATTGCTAATGATTGTAAGGGTAGCTTCAGTTTATGTTGTTTTATCCTCAATCTTAGTTAGAAGTATGAAGTGTGTTCCTCTTCACTTATCATTTATCAACGAAATAAATGTCGAAGTATGTTTATTTTCTGCTTATTCAGTGCCAACTATCAATTTTTAAGGAAAATTTTAAAAATTCATGTACAGCCTATGGATAGTGCTGGTAACAATATATTGTTTCCGCCAGAAGGGGTCAATGCTGCAGCCAATCTCTTCGCCTTAATTGTAGAGTCTGAATTAAAGGGTAACTATGATGTTTTGCACAATATATTGCTTTTTGTTTGCCTGATTTGTGGATGTTTGTTCTTTAATTCACATAAATATTATTTTATAAATAGCTGCTTCAGCATCGGCCTCCACTGATGTGAATGACTATGACTACCTTCAGGCTTCTATAGCTGGTAAGTGTATTAATGGTTAGATTAATCTTGATTATAATTATTGTTTTAGGTTAATAGATATGTTGCCTTTTTAACACGTTATTTGTGTTCCATTTGTAGCTATGGACGAACGGTTAAGCTCTTATGCTCTTGTTGCACGAGCCGCTATAAACATCACAGTTCCTTTGCTCACAAGACTGTTTTCTGAACGTTTTGCAAGGCTTCATCAGGTACTATTTGCATCGTTTTTTGAGTATTTCCTTGTGGGTTGTATTTTGTTGGTTGACCCTGAAGAGCTCTGTTTGTGCTGTGGTATAATTATCTAAACTCCAAATTGTATATTTTTCTGAAAATAACCAACAAGTCATACTTTTTTAAGAAAAAACCTTCCAGTGATATCAATTTTCTATTGGACAATTAAGTACTACTTTTTCAGCGTAGTTTTGAAAGATTCCTAGTTTTATTTACCTCCTCTTTTGCTCATGAGGATTTATTACAGAAATGTCATTCTATTAAAAAAAGCCATAGAATTCAAAGCCGTGGCCGGGGGATGTCGATACATGTCAACCTGCTGTTTGAGAACTGGAGTGGGTTGGAAGAAGACTTCTTGAAAAGCATCCCCCCTTTTTTTTGGGGGCGTGGGGGAGAGGCCTATTTCTATTTCACTAGTTAAGTTGTAAATCTGAGATTAAGGTTTAGAAGAGGGTGATGATAAGAGAAGAGACATTGAGAGAAATAATGTGTGTACTCCCCCTCAAGTTGGAGCATAAAGATAAAAAGTGCCGAGCTTAGAACATAAACTATTAAAGACAGATTGGGCTAATGATTTGGCAAGAATATCACTCATTTGATCACCATACTTGATATCGGTGTTATCAAAACCAGATCGGACCGGACTGGCCAGTCCAAATGAAAAACCGGTATCTATGCTGGTGTGGTTCATGATTTAGATCGTTTTACAATTGAACTGGATTAAACCGGACAATTTTTAATAAAAATCGAACAAACCAATTGAAACCGATTTTTTAACTATTGCAAAATATTTTCACTGCATTCACAACTTCCATTAAAAAGCTGTCCTGCATGCCTTGATGACAGAAAGCATTAGGCTTTTGTTTGTTTTTATATGCGCAAAGGAAGTGAGGTTCATTATGGATTCTCGATGTGGGGTAGACTTTCCCACTTGCAATTCCCAGCATTTTATCTCTTGAAGCAGCCTATGATATTGTTTTTTTGTTCCAATTTTTGTTTTCTCTCTTCTTTTTTAGTCTCATATTATGGTATGATTTACAATAATTATATCATAAATTTTATAAATTATCTAAGAAAATCAATTAATTTTGAAGTTCTTATTTTTTCTATTTGATCTAGTATACTTAAAAACATGCTATGTCTATAATTATAATTATTTTTTTAGTTATTCAGTATTATTAGTAATTTTTTATATTTAATTATATGTAAGGTTAATTAGGAATTTAGGATACTACTTTGTGCGTATTATGCTTTGTGTGAATTTTATTTGTGGAAATCATATGTATTGTGAACATGTTTCAAATTTTTTTAGTTAAATTATTATGTTTTATAATTTTTTTTATTTTTTTATTATAAGACTGGTCCAACCAGTTGACCCATAGTTGAATCAGTGAACCATTGACCCGGTCCATCTGTTAGTTTGATGTCCGGTCCAATTCTAATAACATTGCTTGATATATGGAGTAATGATCTCTTTTTGCATTAAGAGATCTCTAATGATATAACATTCCACTTCAATATGTTTGGTACGTTCATCAAATATCGGATTACTTGCGATGAAAATTATTGTTTGGTTATCACAATGCATATGCATAGGGGAAGACACATCAAGTCTTATATCATGAAGTAAAGATCAGACCTATAATATCTCATAAACAGTGCGAGCCCAAGCATGATACTCAGCCTCTACAATAAAACGTACAACTACTTCTGCTTCTTGTTGTGCCAAGTATCAAGATTACCATTAACAAATGTACAATAACTAGAAGTAGATTGTCTATTACCAGGACTACTTGCTTGGTTAGCAAGGATTAAAAGTTTATTTCGGTGCATTGTTTTAGTCACGTAGGAAATGGAAACTTGTTGACGTAGGAAATGGAAAGGGTAATTCTTGGTAGAAAAAAAAAGATGACTCAAAAAAGGTGACATAATATCGGCGAGATGCAAGGTCATAACAATAACAAACTTTATGAGTACGAGGGTTTCCCAGAAAGATACACTAAATCGAGCGACGGGAAAATTTATCTTGTCGTAGACCATATAGGTGAACAAATGCAACTCACCAAAAAACACTAGTAAAAGGGTGATGTATCATGATAGAACAAGGAAAATGGAGATCTATTACCCAAGATGGGGGAAGACATCCGCTTGATAAGATAAATTGCAGTGAGAACAGTGTCTGCCCAATAAGATTTAGGTACATGCATGTTAAACATGAGGGTATGAGCAGTATCCAATAAATGACTATGTTTGCGTTCTGCAACACCTTTTTGTTGGGATGTATGTGGACATGTATTATGATGAATAATACCATGATCAACACAAAATGTATGCATAAAAGATTGTACATACTCAAGGGCGTTATCAGAACGAAATATTCTAGCAATATCTTTTTGCCGAGATGTATGTGGACATGTATTCTGATGCATAATACCATGATCAACACAAAATGTATGCATAAAAGATTGTACATACTCAAGGGCATTATTAGAACAACATATCTTAATACGTTTATCAAATTGTACAAGTATTTCATTATAGAAAGTAAGAAAGATTTTAGACAATTCTAAACGATCTGTCATAAGAAACAACCAAGTCATGTGAGAATAATCATCAACAAAGATAACAAAATAATAAAATCTAGAAATACTTTTTATTCTTGAAGGACTCTAAATGTCAGAGTGTACAACAGAAAAATGACTAGACTGACGACTCATACTACCAGTAGGAAAGGAACTACGGTGATGCTTGCCTAATTGATAAGTCTCACATTGTAATATAACACAAAGATTCAAATTAGGAATGACTTGACGAAACTTTTGTAGTCAATGGTGACCCAATCGAAAGTGCCACTAGAGGGGAGACACGGTAGCACTCAAGAAGACGTAGAAAAGATCACTAAACGTTATAAAGACTTGGCTAACTGACTCACATATAGCAGATTAAAGGGAAACTGAGGAATAAATAAACCAGATGCTAATTACATGGATTCAGTAGGATGAAGATCACATACTGGTCTAAAAGAACCATCAGCTAGCATACTACGAGAGCAGATTATGCTAATGATAATCGAAGATGATGAAATTACTTGGGCTGTCAGATATGTGGGCATTAGCTCACTAGCTCCTGAATCAATAATCCAAGATGATGAAGCTGATTAGGCTGCCATGTGTGCAAAATTACTTGCGGTGGCTACACCAGCAGTTACCAGAGAGAGTAAAGACAATTGTTGGATAAGCTAACTAAGATGAGAAGTGAGATCATCATTAGAGGCAAACAAGGATGTAGCATGCCCACCAGTCAATGGCTTAGATAGAAGAGGAGTTTGGGTCATCATAAACCAGATTAGCATAGGCTTGTCTTTCATGTTTGTCCTAACAATAATCCTCAGTATGGCTAGCAGCTCTACAATAAGAACACTTCCCACTTGGAACGATTGGCACGACCACAATAACCATTACCTCTACCACCATGATTACCACCTTAGGGTGGATATGGTGACCACGACTTCCACTAGGAATATATCTCCTCGAGTGAGTCCCATATTTTTTTGGTCGTGTCAAGAAGTTAAACATTAGAAGCTACTAAGGGTTCCATTCTAAATCACAACCATGCTATCATTAACGAATTCTCAATCCACCAATATTCAGAATTTTTAAGGTCTTTGGAGGGGGACTTTCGGTCAAATACTTGACTTTCCTTTTTGTACGTAGGAAAACTTTAATAGCATGAGACCATGATTGATAATTACGACTAGTGTTATTTAAGGCGTAAAGCGAATTGAAGCGAACAAATCTTCTGAGGCCTAGGCAAGAAGTGAGAGGCGAAGCGAATGCTTCATCGAAGCATAGCGAATTGTAACAAAAATAAGTAAATATTTTAGTTAATTATTTCTAAATATCAAAGTTCTAATTTTACAAATACTAAATATTTAAATATAACCAAAATCATAAACATTTAAATTCAAACAAACGCTAATCATATCTCAAATCTTCATGGCAACTTTAACTCAAAACATTTAAATTAAAAAAATACTAACAACATCCAAAATCCTAATATTTAAAAACTTAAGTCACACAATTCAAGCAACTAAACATTTAGTTAATGCTTCACAAATTACAAGGACTTAGAAATCAATCATTAGCACTGAAGAAACCATGTTCTTCATTATCTTTTGATTCATATCCCTCAGTATCATCCTCCTCTGTCTCATTTGAAATTGTTACTTCCTCGTCTATGAGTCCAGTCGACGATCTTGTAAACCTCGGTGTTACCCTCGAAGATGATGTTGATCTAGTGCATTGGCTACTTTTGCCAAATTGAGAAGCTTGAGCAACATCCCCATTTGACTCTTTTACACAAAAATTGTAGAGTTCCTCGTCAAGGTATTGCTTGACCCGATAGACACCTCCATTTGACTCTTTTCGACAAAAATTGTAATTGAAGTTGTTCGGGTTTTGGGGATTTATTAATTTCGCATAATTCCAAATCGAATCTTTTTTGTTCCCTTCGGTCGATGTTGCCATTTATTTGTTTATGATTGACACTATCACACTACAATCAAAGGGAACAAAAACAACTAAGTAATAAAACATATTAATCAAACAACTTAAAACAACTAAGTAATGAAATCAAAAATAGAATCAACATAAGCAAGTAATGAGATCAGAAACAAAATCAGCTTAAGCAAGTAATGAAATCAGAAACAGAATCAGCTTAAGCAAGTAATGAAATCAGAAACAGAATCAGCATAAGCAGAAATAGAAACCGCAGAATAAAAAATAGAAACAGAAACAACAAAAGAAGATTGGAAACACAAACAAAAGCAAAATCACAATCCCACAATTAGAGTACTAGAATTTCAAAAATTAGTAACATAATCAGAAGAAGCAGAATCAGAAGCAAAAACAGAAGTGAAAAATAGAAACAAAAACAGAAGCAGAACAAAAAGAAACGGAATTAGAGAAGAAGTCAAAACAGAGAATGAGAACTAAAGAAATCAGAGAATCCTAGGAAAATAAAAACAGAAACATGGAATTCCAGCCAAAATAAAATAGAAGCAAAAGCAGAACCAGAGAATCAGAAGCAGAAGCAGAGAAGAAGAATCAGAAACAGAAGCAGAGAACGAGAAGGATTAGAATCAGAAGTAGAACTGGAAGCAAAAGACAGAAACATAAGCAGAAGCAGAGAAGAAGAAATCAAAATAGAGAATCAGAACTAGAGAAATAAAAGAACCCCAGAAAAATAAAAACAGAAACACAGAAGAAGCAGAATCATAAGAATAAGTAGAGCCAGCAGAATAAGAAGAAGAAGATAAGAAGAGAAAAGAAGAAATATCTTAGTTTTATTGAAGAAGGAGACAGAAGGTGCAACATTAGTAGTAGTAGATCTGGTTCTGGGTTGTGTTTTCTGTCGAAAAAGAAGAAGAATTAAAAGTAGAAGAAGAAGAGAAGAGGTGAAGGAGAGAAAAGAATATCATACCTGTGTTCTGTCAAAGAAGAAGACAGAAGCAGCAGATCTGGGTTTTATATCGAAGAAGAAGAATTAAAAGAAGAAGAGAAGAAGGAGTTTGCCGGGCAAACCTGTTCAGATGTGGGTTGTCTATGTTCTGTTGGGACTTCTTGAGGATGGAGAGAAGTAGCATCATTGCATCATTGCATCAACTTCCAGAGGTTGATTAGGCAAATTTAAGGTTTAGGTGTTAGATATATTGGGATAAGGGGCAATCGGGTGTCTGGGCATATCACAATTTTATTCCAATTGCCCCAATCCAATGGTCTATAATAAAAATAAAGCAACATAAAAAACATAACAAAGTCACTCGCTTTTCTCACTTTAACCTCGCTTCACTTATCTTCCCTTCGCCTGTGATGTTCAAGGTGAAAGAGTCTCGCTTTGCCTCGCTTTTGCAACTTAAAAAACTTAACAAAGTCACTGCTAGTCTTGCTTGTAAATTGTCACAAATGGTTTGTGACTGGTGATGAGTTATTCATGCCAGTATGTAAGTTCCCTGAACTTTAGAGGTAGAATTTCAGTGAACTCTTTCTCTCTCCCCCTCTCTTTCTCATGTGATACTCTCCTTTTTTCTTATTCTATTTTTCACCTCAAAAGAAGTCATGGGCGACTGTTCTCCATGGATTCATTACTTGTTTAACATTGCATTCATTACCTGATAGCTTTATGTTCTCAGAAATTACCCATCTCATTATTATCATTTTATGTTGGCTGCCTTTTTGGTGACCATTCTGTTGAATTTTGGTTCAATAGTTTGCAGTCATTTGTATAGTTTAACGATTCCCTTATCTTGATTTTACTTGCTTGTTTTTTAAGTTCTTCACATCATATGTAGGGCAGAGGCATACGTGATCCAACTGGAACTATGGAAGAGCTTTACTCACTATTATTGATAACTGGCCATGTCCTGGCTGATGAAGGACAGGGTGAGACACCATTGGTAATTTCTACTACTTCCTATTTATAGTTTTTGCAGTTTTCAGTTGAACTATTAGATGATTAATTTGTCCTTTTGACAAGTTTATCAGCATTTAGTTAATGGTACTGTATTGATAAAAAAAAAAAAGTTGATGGTACTGTACAAGAGGACCTTCTGTGCACTTGACTTTCATCTTAAATATTGCTCATTTTCATCATTTGACATTCGGGCATATCTGTATGTGTTTCATGTCTCACAGAAAACTGTTGGCATTTTCACAATTATTTATAATCAAGTATGCATTACAATGCTGAGTACTATTGGCTATTTTCTCCATAGCTCGATAGGTCATGTGCAAATTGCTTAGTAGCTATTTTCTGCATAGCTTGATATGTCCTGTGCAAATGCTTGAAGATCACAACAGAAAGCCACTTATTTTGTTTATAAGTTTCAACTTTTGATTTTTAATTGGTTGTCAGACTTGCTTTTTTTTTGGTCAAGTGCAGACCTTATATGCACATGCCGATAGTTGTCAACTCATTGATCGCAGTTATCTGGGAATTTTTGTGCTTTCTCTTGTTCTATTAATATTAGTTTAGAAGGGCTAATGTCATTGGCACTTCAATTGGTGCTTCTGGCATTGCATTTCCGTTTTCCCTGTTTGGTGTAAAATTTACGGCTTTAGAGTTCCTGAAGCTGTTTCTGGAGTGCCAAACATCTGCCTTACTGAATTGTATGTAAATTTTAGATGCATTCTGGTGATCAATTGGAATTCTGGGCTTTATTACCAAAAAAACAAAGATACGAAACTCAAAGCACATCCAAAAGGATACACAGAGCAAATCTGATAAGAGATCAGCTTATCAAATCCTATTCTACCAAATACTTGAGATATTTCTCTCACAATCGTAGAGACCAGGTGCAGAAAACAAGAGAAAGATCCCTAAACCAAGAATACAACAATAAAATCATAAGGGATACCATAGACATCTGACCCAATACATGGGTCAGATTAAACTATCTGATCTCTGGGTGAAGACATGTCGAAAAGCCACACGCTGCAATGCCAAGGGACCAACATAGCTAAAGCCCAAAAGAGCAACTCAGGAAAGCCCAATCTATCCGGATTGGTCCACTTGGGAAAGAATGGTCGTGAAATGAAAGCCTTTAGGAGAGCTCTCTCTCTAGAATCTAGAGCGAGATGCTCTGTTCCCCCCTGGGGGTAGTATCTTGCATATATTATTAACACAAAATTCTACTCATGGGTGAACTTGTGTGATTTTCAGGTTCCAAAGGCTATACAAAGACAATTTATGGATGCAGTGGAGACGGACAAACATCCAGTTGTTATACTTTCTGGGTAAATTCCTGTAGACATGTTTAAATGGAGTTAGATGTCAAAGCAGTTCTGTGTTTAATATTTTCGACTGCTCAGATGGACCACTTGTTTAATATATGTTGCACTTAAGTACTCATTATTCGACTTGGTAAACTGAAAATAAAATAAGTATAATTCTCATCAAGTATGTTAATGTTAGTCAGCTGCTTTAATGATTTTTTCTAAATTACTTTTATAGCATTATGCAAAGAGATTGCCACTTGAAGGCAACTTCAGAAATAATTGTGCATTATTAGCAACTAATTGTTAGCACTATTGTGTTCGCTAAACCCGAAGACCATGCACTTGCCAGATGCAAGCCACATAATCCTCGGGTCATTGTGCCTTGACACTATTCATGAACAGTAACTATAGGTATGACAATGCAAGAAACTTATAGTTGACCGTTCAAATTCTTTTCCTAACGTCAACAATTCATAAAGTTCTCAAAAGATTATGCAACAGTATTTCAGGCCTGTCTTGAATTGATCAGCTTCTTCTGGTCAGCTCCTTTCATTTCTTCCCTCTTTTTAAACAAGATCCATATAAGTGGCTCATGCTTTTAGTTCCAGATCCATTTTACAGACATTGTTCTTGGTCTTGTCTTTTATATACTTATATACATACATGCAGATGACCTTTGTAGGCTTTGCTTGTGAATGTTTAGCCTTTGATTTCAGTTGAATGGTAAAATTGGTATAGTGTTTATGAGGGAAAGAAGAAGGGAGAAAGAGATTGAGAGGAATGATCAGTTGTGTAGGTTGTGTTGCCCTACACTCTTATTTATAATTGTTAACTTTGAGAGAGAGAGAGAGAGAGACGTAAGAAAGAATTGGAACAAGTTGACCTACCATCCCTGTCATCATATATATATATATATGTGTGTATCTCAATATAGCTAAAGACCATTATATCCCTATGGGGATATACTTATTACATAAATGCCATTCTATATATTCTAACCCTCCTCTCAAGTTGGTGAATATATATCATATAATTTCAGTTTCGAACAGTTATTTCTCAACCGAGAACTACTTAACGGCTTAGTAAAAATATCAGCAAGTTGATTCTCAGAGTTGACAAAGTGTGTGACAATATCTCTACGCAACACTTTCTCTTGAATAAAATGACAATCAACTTCAATGTGTTTTGGTTGCTCATGAAACACAGGATTTGAAGTAATATGAACAGTAACTTGATTATCACAAAACAACTCAATAAAGAGTCTTGACTGGGAAATCAATTTCCTTAAGGAAGTGTTCCATCCATGTAACTCACTACACGTGTGAGCCATTGCTTAGTACTCAGCTTCTCCACTAGACTATGCCACCACTGTATGTTTCTTACTCCTCCCATGTTGTTAAGTTTAGAGAGTTAACACAATATTAGAGAAAGATGGAGAGTGGTAAAAAAACCTTAGCCTACCTCTCACAAATAACTTGTATTTATCGTTGACTCTTACCATATAAAAGACGTGTATATCCTCTAGTGGTATATTTATTACAACTAGTATTTACATAATACTCTTAACACTCCCCCTCAAGTTGGACTATATATCATATAAGCTAAACTTAGAACAAGTAGCTGTAAGACTCGTACGACTCAATGCTTTGATAAATTTATCTGCAAGTTGATCCTCAGATCTCACAAATGGAGTTGTAATATCTCTAGGTATTATCTTGTCTCAAATAAAGTGACAATCAACCTCAATATGTTAGGTTCTATCGTGAAATACTGGATTGACAGCGATATGAATAGCTGCTTGATTATCACAAAAAAACTGTACTGGAGGTTGAACTGGAAAGTCCCTTGAGAAAGTGTAGCTCGTCAACTCACTAGTTGTATGTGTCATTGCTCTATACTCAGTCTCTGCATTGGATCTTGCTACCACCGTTTGTTTCTTACTCTTCCATTAGATAGCATTTCCTCCAAGGAAAGTACAATAACTAGTAGTTGATTTCTAATCAGAAAGAGAGCCGACCCAATCAACATCTGAAAAACCTTTTACTTTAAGATGTCCATTAGCTCGATATAATAACCCAAGACTAGCAATACATTTGAAATATTACAAAATACGAGTGACTGCCTCCCAATGTGGCATTCTAGGGTATTTCATAAATTGACTTACTACATTAATTGCATAAAAAATATTCGGTCAGGTAATAGTGAGATAATTGAGTTTCCGAACCAACTTGCGATATCGATCAGGATTCTCAAACAATGCACCATCATCTACTAACAATTTCTGATTTAGATCCATAAGAACATTAATTGGTCTGTCACACACCAAATCTGCTTCTGCTAGTATGTCGAGTACATATTTTCTCTAGGATAAACAAATACGCTGTTTAGACCTAGCAACTTCAATATCCCAAAAATACTTGAGTTTCCCTTGGCCCTTAGTGTGAAATCGGTCTTGTAAAAAAAGTTTTTAAGTGGACAATCCTTTCAGAATCATTTACAGTAATTATAATATCATCTACATAAACCATCAACATAATATATCCGATATTTGTCTTTCTAGGAAATACGGAGTAGTCTGTTTGACATCAAAGAATACCAAATTCTAAAATTACATCTGAAAACTCACCAGACCATGCCTTTGGTGATTGCTTTAAACCATACAGAGATTTTTTTAACCAACACACTCTTACAGTACTCTCCTTTAGCAGTAATCCCAAGTGACTGCTCCATGTAGACCTCTTCAACTAAATCACCATGTAAGAAGGTATTCTTTGACATATAACTGAAATAAGGGCCAATCAAAATTAGCAGCCAAGAAATTAATATATGAATAGTAGAGATCTTGGGAATAAGGGAGAAAATCTCCTTATAATCAACACCATAGGTTTGAGTAAAGTCCTTAGTAACAAGACGGGCTTTGAGACGCTCCACAGAATCATCCGGATTAAATTTAACAATGTACATCCAACGACAATCAACAGTCCGTTTACTAGGAGGTAAATGAATAAGGTCACAAATGACATTATGATGTAAGACATCCATCTCCACTTACATAGCTTTTCTCCAACTCGGATCAGACAATGCCTCATGTAAGTGCTTAGGAACAGAGATAGTAGACAGTTGAGACGTAAAACAAGAGTTGTAAAAATGTAGTCGGAAAAATGTTGACATCACTTTTTTGGTGATGATGTCGGTGCACAGAATTCCTACTGATTTTTTTATTATGTTGTTCTTGCAATTATTTGCCCAAAAAATAAAAATAAAAGACTGCTCTAATACCAAGTTGAATAATAAAATTGATATTAGGGCTTATGTGGGAAAGAAAAAGGGAGGAAGAGATTGAGAGGAATAATTGGTTGTGTAGGAAACGTTGCCCAGCACTCTCTTGTTTATAATAAACTGACATTATGAGCAATTACATTATTCCATACAATACTAATAATCTAAAATAAGAACTCTAACAACTTCTTTGAAGCTTTTCATGATGATCATGAATACATCAAATGGTGTTGTAGCTTCTGGTGGGATGTAGAGAGGTTTATTTGTAAAGGATTTGTGGGGAAATCTACTCCTTCCATATGCATTCCAGAATATGTATTCATTCTTGTCGTTCAATTGATTTTGGAGCGACATAATACAATATTTAAAGTGCTCTTTCCTTTAAAAATTCAAAGTCTAATAATGGAGAGAGCTCTTGTTAAATGCCTGACATGAAGGCTACTGGTCTGTTTGAACATATTGTCCGGCATGCAGGGAGTTTGTTTTGATTTGTGGAAATGCTTTGTAGACTTGTATTGTTTGGTTTTTTTTTAGGTTGAATGGTCCTCGGGGGAGGAGCCAAAAAAAAAGGTGGTCAGCTTAGTTCAATACACCAATTACTTTTCAGAACATACAATTTGTGCTCTTGAGCATAGGTGTAATTTCGTGTGAAATCATCTGATTGGTCTTTCAAATTTTTTGAAAGTTTTTTGGAAATTTTTGGACTTGCTCCCCGATCCACTGTTTCAGGGCCACTGGGTTTTTTTTTTTTTTTTTTGGACTAGATTTGTTACATTGGGTACGACTAGAACCTATAAGTAATGCCCAGCCATCGTTATTGCATTCAAGTTGGATTTATGCATGTTTTTGGTCCCCCTTCTTGCAGCTGGCAGTGGGTTTTCTACCTATCCAGTGAGGCATTTGGCTCCTGATCGTGGCGAAGCCAAAACCAAGCCGTGGTAGCTACGTCTAGCGTGGAGGCTGAATATTGAGCAATGGTCCATGAAGTCTATGAGCTTATGTGGTTTCAAACATTACCGGGAGAGATGAGAATTCATGATGATGGACCTAAGAGACTATACTGTGACAATAAGACTGATATCAAATATTGCTCATAATCCAATTCAACATGACATAACTAAACATGGTGAAATTGATTGGCATTTCATTAAAGAGAAGTTGAATAAGGGTTTGATTTGCATGTCTTCCGTGAAATCAAAAGATCAATTACTTGATGTTTTTGCAAAAAGGGCTTAGTAGCAAGGTTTTTTATCCCATTGTTTGTAAGTTGGGTATGAGAGATATTTATGCACCAACTTAAGGGGGAGAGTTGTGTTGTGCGTAATTTTTAGCTTAAGGGTATTTTAGTACTTTATGATTTTGATTATATATAAACAAGCTGTGAGTGCAGATGTGTAACACACTTCTCTCTTTCTATATTCTTTTCTCCTTCTCACTTCTTCTCTTCTCCAAAACCCTAACGACTCTACAATATAACTTATGTGGACGTGTAGTCGAATGAAAGATATCATGATTAACACAAAATATATGAATTAAAAATTGTACATATTCAAAGGTAGCATTATCCAACTGAAGCTTTTGTAGTGAAGGATGATCCAATCGAAAATGTCACGAGAAAGGAGATACGGTAGCACTCGAGGCAAAAACTACTGCTCGGGAATTCAAATAGTAAAATCTATTTTGCCTACGTACCAAATCAATCACCTTTTTTATCTGGAGGTCATGAATAAATAAGATGGAGAA